GGGGCAGGGGCAGGGGCAGGGGCAGCTGCACTGTCACAAGCTGGAAACCACACTAGTCTACATAGTGAATTCCAGGCCAGCTAAGGCTACAAAGTGAGACCTAGCTAAAGAGAAGGAAGGGAAGCTAACTTGTAGTTCTCCAGTTTATGGTCTGTAACATGGATGTGTGAGATTGGCAAGTGAGAGTTTGGTGCCACGCTTACACTAACTCACGGGGATTGACTTTGAGTATCAGAAAGGAATGGGCTTCTCTTCATCTTCCAGGGTTTTTTCTTAGAAGCTACATCCTTAAGAGTTATTTTATTTCTCTACTGTTAGTATTGGCAGATGATGGCTCCAAGAGAAAAGTCCTTAATGTGACTTTAACCTGGATATGAAACAATGTCACTGTCACAAAGGACTGACATGCCTTTTTTGTCTAAAATGACTAAATGTCACACTACAAATTTGAAAGCTTTTTCTCTGGCAAATGTGTATAGCTAGACTCAGCCCAATAAGACAAAGTCATTTAGAGTTAACAACAATGAAATGGAATCCCCTCACACTTGGGAAGGGGGCATTGTGGGAATATAAATATCTAAACATTGGGTTTTACTTGACATACTCTCCACACAATAAACTCAACTGTGAATTGGCAGGAATACTTGCTGAAGTAGAGATCTTTGCTTGGGTGAATATGTGAGGCAAAGGACAATTGTCAAGTCCCCCTGTTGTTGGAGACTGTTCTTTACATTTAATGAGCCCGGTCAGTGATGGAGAGTGATTTGAGTCATTCCAGCTCGAAAAGGAGAATGAGGGAGAGAAGAGAAATTGAATTCTAGGTCTGCCTCTTATCCTTGCATTTACCTGTGCTATGCCATGGGCCTGTGGTGTGTTATTTTGGTTCTACCTGGGAACCTGTCTGTTGCCCAGGGTCCTGTTTCCACTTAGCATAGTGGCAGGTGCAGAGGATCAAAGCTGCGATAAGACAACACGTAGTAAAACAGAAGTGGCATTGTTCTGTATTTCCACGAGATTTAGTAAAATAAAATGAAGGCAGGTCCTTCACCTCAGGGACTCCTTAGAATATAGCTCGGCAGCCCTTTGCCTGCATTGAGAAATGTGGCTCTGACAGTCACATACTGGAAAAGGCTGCATAGTTGCTCATGCACCATTTTGGCTATGCCTAATATAGAAATCTGCACTGCTGTTAGTTTAATGTTTGTAACAAATGCCTCCTGTCTCTATTCAAAGAAAAGCATCAGAGTGATTTGAAATACATCTTGTACAACATCTCAACATCTCTTTTTATAGAAAAGCCAACTCATGAGAAATTGTAACAGGGTTTGAAGTAGCTCACTGTATGTAGTCCATCTTTCCACAGAAAGAAAAACAATAGAAATGGGCCAATGTTTCTTTCATGAGAATTTGAATACAAGATATATTAATTAACATCTTCATTTCGCTGAAAAAAAAGAAAAGCCAACTCATTTTGCTTATCTTTTTCCTAATCTATTTACTAGGTAAGACAAATGAAGTGTGCTTATAATAGGAAAATGTGAGGCAAAACAAAAAAAAACCATGAAGGAAACAGATGTTCTGAACATCTTACCCCTCAGTTAACATCACAGTATTTTGGTGTATTGTTTTCAGTCTTCCATGTTGAGTTAATTCTGAATTTCATTTTTCAATATAAATTTCCAGAAAAGAAATTGAGCCCTTCTTGCCCCCTCTGAAGCCTGACTACTGTGTGAAGCAGGCCATGAAGGCCATCCTCACTGACCAGCCCATGATCTGCACCCCCCGCCTCATGTACATCGTGACCTTCATGAAGAGGTAACTGAGGGCCTGCCCTTCCTGCCCCCAGAGCTGAGAAAACCCATGCCCTGCCGTTTGCTAACTGTGCCCTTTCCTTTGCAGCATCCTTCCTTTTGAAGCAGTTGTGTGCATGTACCGATTTCTAGGAGCCGACAAGTGTATGTATCCCTTCATTGCTCAAAGAAAACAAGCCACAAACAATAATGAAGCAAAAAATGGAATCTAAGAGTGCTTTGTACGGAGTGCCATTTCTGTCAGGAGGTTTCAGTGCACCCACATCAGCAGTACTGACAGTCTCTGGGTTCTAACCCCATGGCGACTTTTTTTTTCTAATCAACTTTTTAAAAAATAATAAAATGTAAATTAACTGACTAGAGTGCTTGAAAAATGTGAGCTTGGATTTTTGCCAATGGGGCCTTTTTTAGGCAGGGCCCTAAAAATGAGTCCAGTATTTAGACAAGCACTATGTGACATCATTATTTTTTTAATGAACAGAAAGTCTAGAAATGATGACTATAGTGTGTTTCATGTGTATGATTCTTCTGGATTCCAAAAGACTTCATTCATTCACTCATTATTGTGAAAGTCTAGCCAACTGGCACCCTTTTGCATTCAAGGACTGACAGTGCTATGTTTTGTCGTGTGTTCTGAGTTCTACTCACACAAGTGTGGGTGGCTTGCTCATGGTGTCTGTGGGTTTAGCTCTTGTAAAGAGGAATGTTTGGTGTCAGTTTGAGATCAGTGCAGTCTGAACATCACAGCAAGCCAGAGGGTCTCTTTCTTATACTTAATGACTAAAAAAATAGGTGGTTTTTAAATTCAATCTCTGAAACACTAAACCGAATGTTTAGAGACCTGGTTAATCAAAAATGGTTGTACATTTTCTACCTGTGCAATTTGCTGCACAGTGCCCTTCCCTCAGGAGCTGCAGAGTTGTGTTTGGGGGAGGGGACCTTGTCTACAAAACACAGTAGCTCTGCAAAGAAAGTTTCTGAAAATGGGAATTTCTGCATTAAAAAGTCCCCATGTTTGTGCCAACTCTGAATTAGTGTGGGGAGCAAATCTTGTGTGAAGTATTGTGGAAGGGTGTAAAGATTTCTTTGAAAGGTTTATTCACATTGTAGAACAGCAAATGACATTTTTACAGTATTTTTTTGTAAAGCAAACTATTTTGTGCCTTGAATTTGGTATATGTGTATTAGTGAAACATTGTAAAAGTGAATCTCTACCTCTGTATCTACATGTGTACCATCCTCTTGTAAATGACTATGAACTATTATGTGATTGCTTTTGTTTGTTTTAGGATGTCTCATTTAAACCGTGACCAATGTTTGAGGTTGTTAAAATAAGCCTACTTTTACTAATCAGGAGGTTTTTCTAGAGGACTAATTAAATACTTACATAACTGACTGTGTTGTTATTAGCTCTCAGCAATATTATAAAGAAAAGCATTGTGGGTGTTTTTCCCTCCTGTCCTATTCTGAGTTACTTAAAGAAAAATCTTTGGATGGGTGGGTGTTGCTGGTGGTTCTCTTGTCCTGCCAGGTTCCACCGCGCTTTCAGCCCCAAATAAACACAAGGACACTATATTCGTTAAAAAACTATTGGCCAATGACTAGGGCTTCTTATTGGCTAGCTCTTTCTTAATTATTAACCCATTTCTATAAATCTATGTATTTCCATGTGGTCTTATTTTACCGGAGAAGGATCCTGATCTGCTACTCCTTTGTGGTCTACATGGCGACTGTGCCTGCCTATCTTTCCCAGAATTCTCCTCATCTCCTCACCCCTCCTATTTTCCTTCCTCATTGGCCAAACAGTGTTTTATTCATCAACCAATAAGAGAAACATACAGAAGTACATCCCCCATCAAATGGGTGGGTTTCATGTAGTCCAATCCCAGTGTCATTGTTGATCTATAGTAGGTACTTCATCAAGGCTTGCTTACAAATGGGAAAAGAAAACCCTCTTGCCTATATTAGTATAGGTGTGTCATTTTTCAGGGTCCCACATCCTGGAAAGGTTCTGGCTCTTATACATTTGAGCATCTCTCTCTCTCTCTCTCTCTCTCTCTCTCTCTCTCTCTCTCCTCTCTCCTCTCTCTCCCCTAGGCCAGACTTCTCTTTATAAATGACAGCCAGCCAGCCACGCTATGAGGCATTGTAACATTATATTTACTGGCTGCTGCTTAATTTTCAATTATGGATTTAAATAAGCACTTTGAAGTAGTGTTCTATCAATGTTGGGTGGGACAGCTATTTTCAAGTTATTGAGGTCTTTTCCCAGCTAGCCTAGGGTATACAAAACCATCCCTGGAGGAATTTCTGCTAATTTAATAGCCTGTTCATCAGCCTTAAAGCCAAGAACAATCCTTGTCATGTTTAATTTTGTTCTCATGTGTTGGAATCTAATCTAATTCTATTTTTCTTTGGTTTTTTCCTTATAAAGTGGTCCATCACCAAGTTCAATAAGCCTACTTCATTTAACTTTTTTGTCTTTTGTTTCCACATCCCATCCAAGATTAATTGTTTCTGGGGTAACTTGCATTGTCCACCTGTCTTTCCTGAGTTTGGTCTAGTCTGGAAGAGAATGATGTTAATGGCAGATTGAGAACTGCAGATTCCTACATGCTGTCTGTCTTCACCTAGCACCGTATTCAAGTAATGACTAGTGTGTATGTGTGCACCTGTACATCTGTGTTCTTCCTCAACCCTCACCTCCCTGTCCCCATTGGCCACTTTTGTGATTGCAAGACTATTTCTCTGGCTGGCTGGTCATCTGTACCCAGACCCCACTCCCACCACCATCCCCCTTGCCTCCTCTCCCCTGACTTGCACCTTGACAGTAATGCTGATTCTTGAGTTCTCTTTTCTGTTCATTCATGTGAGTGCTCAGGCCACAGGGCTGGAGGCCGCCCTCCTGAGGGGCCCCACGTCTGTCTCTAGCCAGCACTGGCCCTGTCTTCTCTAACTTTCTCTCTCTCCTCTCTCCCTCCCTCCCCCCCCCCCCCCCGCGCGTGTGTGTGTGTGTGTGTGTGTGTGTGTGTGTGTGTGTGTCTGTAAGTACCCTGTTATTTTGTGTGTGTGAAAGGCTATACCTCTCTAATTAAAAAAGTGAAGTACCTTTTTCCTTTTTTGTTGCTTCTTTCTTTTCTTTTCTTTCTTCTTTCTTCCTTTCTATTTTTATTTTTTATTTTTTATTTTTTTTTTTGAGACAGGGTTTCTCTATGTAATCCTGGCTGTCCTGGAACTCACTCTGTAAACTAGGGTGGCCTCAAACTCAGAAATCTGCTTGTCTGCCTTACAAATGCTGGGATTAAAGACATGTTCCACCACCATCTAGCAAAAATCTATTTTTGGGTGATTTTGTTTTTCAAGACTGGGTTTCTCAGTGTAGCCTTGGCTGTCCTGGAACTTGTTCTGTAGACCAGACTGGTCTCAAACTCATGGAGATCCACCTGCCTCTGCCTCCTGAGTGCTGGGATTAAAGGCATGTACCACCACTACCTGGCTGTGAAGTGCCTTTTTCAGAGATTATTTTCCAACTAGCAGAAATCATTCTAAATTGCTGCTGACCTGGATCTTGAAGATTGGTTTTGCTTCCAGCAAAATCTAAAATCAGCAGGGATTTGGGGAGGTGGGAGCCCTTACTGTGTTAAATGCATTGCCTACACTACAGCTGCTTATGAAGATGACTGGGGAAAATCAAAGCTGTAAGGGCCAGAAGTTGCCAGGTCTCAGGGCCTGGGAGCACAGAGGCCATGTGTAACCACAGATAGCAGGTACACGAGATATCTCCACCAGGGACTCAGTTTGCAGTTCATTTCAGTGCCAGTGCCTTTCTTTATACATGGCATTCATCAAGCCTCAGGCAGTAGTGAAGCTTCAGCAAAGTGGGGAGGGGGAGACAGGGCAGCTGACATAGGGTTGGTAGCATTCCTGGGAAGCCCCAGAAGTTAACAAATTATATTCATTGTGGCTAAGACAGAACATAGGAGAAAAGTGCCCCCACTCTAAGAAGGTTCCATCTGGAGGATAGCCACCATTCAAGATGGGAACCAGCCCCCTTTGATATGGAAAGAAAGTGAAATATCCAAACTGATGGAATCCACCAGGCTTCTGTGGATTCCTGAGACGCCAGAAGTGAAAAGACACTGGGCAGACACTACAGTAGCCAGGTTGATGGGGAACGGCTGTATGTAAGTCTGGGAGCAGAGAGAGCAGGCATCTTGGGTTAAACTGCACAGACTTAA